ACGGACAGCAAGCCGGATCCGCTCACCCAGCTGGTCACCACCTTCTGTCGCGGCGCCATGACGGAGCGCAGCGGAGCCCTCCAGGAGGATCTGCTCTACATGTCCTATGCCCAGATCGCGGCCAAGTCCACGGGCAAGGAGGAGGAGGAGGGCGGCGATGAGGAGGGCGGTGAGGGAGGCGAGGAGGGCGAAGGCACCAGCATCCATGTAAGTCGATCCCAACTAACTCAGGTCCACTAACAACAGCAAAAATATCCCTAAACCCGACATGTCTGACTCAGTGTCGGATGAGGCAACTAATGGTAACTATTCATTCAGCTGAGATTACTAATAAACCGCTTTAATTTTGCACCCTTGCAGGGATTACTATAATTTTGAATCCCCAAACACAGCTTTAAAAACTAGTATAACCCCAGTTTTAACCATTTGTTAATGCCTTCACAGGAACAAGAGATGGAAAAGCAGAAACTGCTCTTCCATCAGGCACGTCTCTCCAATCGTGGCGTTGCCGAAATGGTGCTGTTGCACATTTCCGCCTCCAAAGGTATACCTTCGGAGATGGTAATGACGACACTCAATCTCGGCATCGCCATCCTCCGCGGAGGCAACATCGACATCCAAATGGGCATGCTCAATCACCTGAAGGAGAAGAAGGACGTCGGCTTCTTTACCTCGATCGCCGGACTGATGAACTCCTGCAGTGTACTGGACCTGGACGCCTTCGAGCGCAACACCAAAGCAGAGGGTAAGTTCATTCGCCCCGTGATCCCAACCAACCGAAAGTCCGCCCGCCTTCCGATCTCCTCCAGCTTTCAGTTGCCGTGCTTGTTAACTTTGGCTCGCACTCTTCTAAGTTCGATTACTTTATTGATTTGTGTCTACTTCCTTCCAAACTGATTTCCCATGCCTCGCATGCCATTACCACCAACCACCAACCAACCAACCCACAAATCCCGTGTACGTGATTCCCGCTATCGTTGTACCAATACCAATCCACCCAAAATTGCCACACGAACAAAGAGTATATTCCGAGTGCGGGTGCAGGTCTTGGTGTAGGTTCCGAGGGCGCCGCTGGCGAGAAGAACATGCACGATGCGGAGTTCACCTGTGCTCTGTTCCGGTTCATCCAGCTGACCTGTGAGGGCCACAATTTGGGTGAGTTCAATCAATGGGTGTAGAGAAACGTAATCCCTAACCACATAAATCCCTTCAGAATGGCAAAACTATTTGAGGACCCAGGCCGGAAACACCACCACCGTAAATGTGGTCATCTGCACTGTGGATTACCTGCTCCGCCTGCAGGAGTCCATCATGGACTTTTACTGGCACTACTCGAGCAAGGAGATCATCGATCCCGCCGGCAAGGCCAACTTCTTCAAGGCCATCGAAGTGGCTAGCCAAGTGTTCAACACCCTAACTGAGGTCATCCAGGGTCCGTGTACCCTCAATCAGCAGGCCCTGGCCCACTCGAGGTTGTGGGATGCCGTTGGCGGCTTCCTCTTCCTGTTCTCCCACATGCAGGACAAGCTGTCCAAGCACTCCAGCCAGGTGGATCTGCTCAAGGAGCTGCTCAATCTGCAAAAGGACATGATCACCATGATGCTGTCTATGCTGGAAGGAAATGTTGTTAACGGTAAGAGGATTTGCTTGACAACCTTGGATAACCACTAACGATGCTCGTCATCTCCATGTTCACCAGGCACCATTGGCAAACAGATGGTTGACACGCTGGTGGAATCCGCCAGCAATGTGGAACTGATTCTCAAGTACTTCGACATGTTCCTAAAACTAGCCGACCTCATCGAATCGCCCAGCTTCCACGAGGTGGACATGAAGAACGAGGGTTGGGTGACACCCAAAGACTTTAGGGAAAAGATGGAGCAGTCCAAGAACTACACACTGTAAGTATACCAAAGACGAGATCAATCTTAGGAAGACTTTAATCCAGAGTGTTACAGGGAAGAAATGGATTTCCTTTTGGCCTGTTGCGAGCGCAACCACGAGGGCAAGATCGACTACCGGGCCTTCGTGGAGCACTTCCACGAACCATCAAAGGAGATCGGTTTCAACCTGGCCGTGCTGCTGACCAACCTCAGCGAGCACATGCCAAACGAACCACGCCTGGCGCGCTTCCTGGAGACCGCCGGCTCGGTGCTGAACTACTTCGAGCCCTTCCTGGGCCGCATCGAGATTCTGGGCAGCTCCAAGCGCATCGAGCGCGTGTACTTCGAGATCAAGGACTCCAACATCGAGCAGTGGGAGAAGCCGCAGATCCGCGAGTCCAAGCGTGCCTTCTTCTATTCCATCGTCACCGAGGGTGGTGACAAGGAGAAACTGGAGGCCTTTGTCAACTTCTGCGAGGATGCCATCTTTGAGATGACCCACGCCTCCGGACTAATGGCCACCGATGATGGTGGCGGCAACGTAAAGCGGGACACTGCCTACAGTTCGTACATGAGCGAGGAGGAGGAGGAGCGGGCAGCTAGGGATCCCATCCGGCGCACCATCACCGCCGTCAAGGAGGGACTCAAGTTCGGAGTGCATATGCTCAGTCCGGCGAACATCAAGCACCAGATCGGCGTGATGCAGACCAAATCCATTCCCGAACTCATCGTGGGCTTCTTCAAGATCATCTTCTACATCTTCTACTACACCGGCTATGCGCACTTCTGTGTGGTGCGCTACATATTCGGCATCCTGCTGAACCTGATGCGAGGACCAGCCCCGGAGCAGGAGGAGGAGCCGGTGGTGGAGGAGGAGACGTTCGGCAGAGCACTGCCGCCGCTGCCGCTGGAGGAACCGCCCGGAACGGTGCAAGCCTTTGGCCTGGACATCAACAAGGAGGACAACGGCATGTACAAGGTGGTGGTGCACGAGTCCCCGGCCAATTCCTCGATGGAGGAGGGCGGAGAGTCCAGCCCGGAGGATGGCGCAGCTGCCAGCGGCGAAATGCTTGAGGGTGGTGAACCGCACCAGGAACCCATCTCCATTGTGGATCTGCTCGGAGGTGAGGCCGCCAAGAAGGCGGCTCAGGAGCGACAGGAGGCGCAGAAGGCCCAGGAGGCGGCCATGGCCTCCATCGAGGCGGAGGCCAAGAAGTCATCGTCGGCGCCGCAGGAGACGCCCGCCGTTCACCAAATCGACTTCTCGCAGTACACCCATCGGGCCGTCAGCTTCCTGGCCAGGAACTTCTACAACCTCAAGTACGTGGCCCTGGTGCTGGCCTTCAGCATCAACTTTATGCTGCTCTTCTACAAGGTCACCTCGTTCACCGAGGAATCGGACAGCTCGGGCGAGGAGGAGCTCATCCTGGGCTCCGGCTCGGGAGCAGGTGCGGACATCACGGGCTCTGGATTTGGCGGATCGGGCGATGGGGGATCGGGCGATGGCGAGGTGGAGGACGAAATACCGGAACTGGTGCACGTGGACGAGGACTTCTTCTACATGGAGCACGTCCTTCGCATTGCGGCCTGTCTGCACTCCCTGGTCTCGCTGGCCATGCTGATAGCCTACTACCATCTGAAGGTGCCGCTGGCTATCTTCAAGCGCGAAAAGGAGATTGCCCGCCGCCTGGAGTTCGAGGGTTTGTTCATTGCGGAGCAGCCGGAGGATGATGACTTCAAGTCGCACTGGGACAAACTGGTGATCTCGGCCAAGAGCTTCCCGGTGAACTACTGGGACAAGTTCGTCAAGAAGAAGGTGCGCCAGAAGTACAGCGAGACCTATGACTTCGACTCCATCTCCAATCTGCTGGGCATGGAGAAGAGCACCTTTGCGGCGCAGGAGAGCGAGGAGACGGGCATCTTCAAGTACATCATGAACATCGACTGGCGCTACCAGGTGTGGAAGGCGGGCGTGACCTTCACGGACAACGCCTTCCTCTACTCCCTGTGGTACTTCAGCTTCTCGGTGATGGGCAACTTCAACAACTTCTTCTTTGCCGCCCATCTGCTCGACGTGGCCGTGGGATTCAAGACGCTGCGCACCATCCTGCAGTCCGTGACGCACAATGGCAAGCAACTGGTCCTCACCGTAATGCTGCTGACCATCATAGTGTACATCTACACGGTGATTGCGTTCAACTTCTTCCGCAAGTTCTACATCCAGGAGGAGGACGAGGAGGTGGACAAGAAGTGCCACGACATGCTCACCTGCTTCGTGTTCCACCTGTACAAGGGCGTGAGGGCGGGCGGCGGCATTGGCGACGAGATCGGCGATCCGGACGGAGACGACTACGAGGTCTACCGCATCATCTTCGACATCACGTTCTTCTTCTTTGTCATCATTATCCTGCTGGCCATCATCCAGGGTCTGATCATCGACGCCTTCGGCGAGCTGCGTGACCAGCTGGAGTCGGTGAAGGACAACATGGAGTCCAATTGCTTCATCTGCGGAATGGGCAAGGACTTCTTCGACATAGTGCCGCACGGCTTCGACACGCACGTCCAGAAGGAGCACAATTTAGCCAACTATATGTTCTTCCTGATGCATTTGATTAACAAGCCGGACACGGAGTACACCGGCCAGGAGACGTACGTGTGGAACATGTACCAGCAGCGCAGCTGGGACTTCTTCCCGGTGGGTGACTGCTTCCGCAAACAGTACGAGGATGAGCTATCCGGCGGAGGTGGCGGCGGTTAATCGGTGAATCGATTAATCTGCTGACGTCTGCTTTCTGGGCACAATCACACTGACACTGGACGGTCCAAGGACTCCAAGAGATCCACTTTTGTATCGGTACTTTGACAACATCTGGAATTTTTACCTAGTCAACTTTAGCAATGTATTTTAAGCAATATCCTACACAAGCGTTTTTATGTACGTAGGAGGACGACCCGGTTCCAAAATGATATATTGATGACGATTCTAGCACGTATAACAACAAATGTTCATAACTCATTTTAAAATAAATCTATTCATTTTGAACGAACATTGTATGTGTGGCATCGACCTTTTATTTATTCCCGTTTGTATGGACAATTAGAAAAAAACCCTATCGATTTAACATCAAATTTTATTTATTAAACATTAAGCCTCAAAAACAATGCCGGTTAGTATAATTATTTACAAAAAGAGAGCCAAAGGTGTAAAAACAGTCAATTGCTTATATAATAATTCATTTTTAGACCATATGCCATGACGCATATATGTCAAATATAAATTTTACTATTTACTAGACACTTATTAAATTTGTTTAGTTATTTTCAACTTACTTTTCTAAACACTATTACGCATTTGTGTTCTTAACTAGATTTATAAAATTATATATTGAAATTGTGTTGTTTTTAACGATTTAATCGATTAAAGCTTATACAGCGTGTCAGTTATTTGTAAAGTAGTTAACTATATCAACAATAATTCATTTATTTCTGGGCTTTTTACTTAAACCGAATTAACGTATTCTCTACTATAAACGAATCAACTCAATTCCAACGCTCAACAATAACAAAAACAATTAAATTTAGCCAACTGATCACATAATTTACAATCATGTACACTTATCACACGAGCCGTGAGCCGTACCTTACAAAAAATCACAGTTGAATGAGGACAAACATTACGTATGAATTTATAATTGAATTACCATAGACACTTGTAATTTTCCTAATCTAAATGTGTGCGGTAAGTGTAAATACATCTATATCTGCCGTATATATATGTATATTTATCTAAAGCTTTCACAACTATTGCCCAGCTGCTGAGGGCAGTCTGATAAAAATAAATACATGTGCGCTGCTTCGGCGACTGGGGCGATTGACTAGCGGAAGTTGTACAGCTGAAAGTAGTACAAAATCAGGACAATGAAGATGGCGGCAAAATATCAGTAATCGAGTCGCTTCTTCAGGCGGAAAAACTCGGCGTTGTCGATGCTCGTCAGATTGTCCATGTTGAGGTTGCGCAACGTCTTTACGCCGGACAGCCGCTCCTCCAGGTCTGTGTACATGCTGCGGCAGCGGTAGATGGACAGCGTCTGCAGACAATTGCAGTTGTTGATGATGGCGTCCAGCGTGTGCTCCGTCAGCTGGCTGCAGCCGCTGATGTGCAAGGCGCGCAGGCGGTGCAACTTGGCTGTGACAACCTGGATGGTCTTGTCCGTGATGTTGTAGCAATCGGAGAGGTCGAGCTCCTCAATTGAGGGACAACTGCTGGCCATTGCCTCCATGCCCAACAGCGAAATCTGCTGGCAATTGGACAGCATTAGTCGCCGTAACTCAACGTGCTTCAGACCGTACTTCAAGGATACATCGCTGATTTTGTTGCAGCCGCGCAGGTTCAACGACCGCAATCCGCGCAACTGCTGGATGTTGTGGCCCTCGAAGTCATCCTCGCGTATCAGGTTCATTTCGTAGGCGGCCAGCATGGCTTGCTTCCGCCTGGCATCCCGCACAATTTCATCCTCGGCCTTGCTTCTCAGCGAAATCTTAATCGACTGCAGCGATCCTGCCAGACTGTCGCGTTCTGCCAGCGTGGTGCTATACGTTGGGTAGAAATTGTCCATCGAGGAGACCTGCGAGCCCGACTGCTTTCGACTCAGCTCCAGCTTAGATATGTTGATGCCCGTGAGAGCTGCATCTGTTAGCTAAATGTAAATGGAAAGGAATTACTACAGGCGGTTTTTACCCATTGCATTTTTCGGCTTACCGCACTGCAGTGCTCCAAAGAGAGCTCGCGCAACCAACGCAGCTGGCCGATGACCGACTGAATAGCTTCGTCGGTGGCACCATTGACGCAGTGATTCAGGTGCAGCGATCGCAGGCAGCGCAGATTACTGGCAATGGCCTTGATGCACTCCTCGCAGATCTGCAGATATGACACGTTCAGCTCCTCCATCACGTGGTTCTCCTCGCTGGCCACGCCCTCGATGATGCCACTGCTGGTCAAGCTGTCGCAGTTGGAGATGTCCAGGCTTTTGAGACGCTTCAGCTTGGCCAGGTGGATGGCGCCAACGCTCGTGATGCTCAGGCAGCCGCTGACTTTTAAGTGCTCCAGTTGCGGATTAGTTTGCACCAGGGCGGCCAGGTTCTCATCATTCACACACATCGTGGCCGACAAATCCAGCGCACTTAACTGCGGCTGAGTGGCCAAAAAAGTGCGGATTGTGGCGCAGTTAAGCTGCCTGCATCCGGCCAAATAGAGGCGCTGCAGCTGGAGATGAAGGTCACAGAGGGCCAGCAAGGCCTGGCCAATCAGTGTGTGGCTAAAGTCCAGAACCCGCAGAGTGCGCTTCTGCAGGTTCAGAATGGTCAGGATGAACTTGAAGGTCAGCACAGATTCGCTGGGCAGGACGTGATCCGAGGAGCTGTTGGCCGGGTAAAATCTCCGATGGATGGCGTTGTGAAAGGCTATGTGGCAGCCGGACATGTTGATCGCCTCCAGGCTGGGCATGAACGAGGTGAGCCGCATCAGTATGGCGTCGGTGAGGTACTGATTCTCGCACAGCGTCAACTCCCTGATCCCGGCCAGGTTGCTGGCCAGGTCGTTCAGGTCGGGACAGGAGTTGTTGTAGGAGTCGAGGAACGAGCCGGACATGAAAAGCGGCAGGCAGCGCTTCAGCGACAGCGAGTGCAGGTGGGGCAGCACGCCCAGCATCCCGTAGAACTGCTTGTCGTTCAGGTCCACATTGTCCAGGGCCAGGGAGTGGGCAGTCCTGCCCATGAACCGCATCAGCTCCTTCACCTGGCCCAGCGTCACGTCCTCGAACAGGAAGTGCCTGAAGCGGCGCTCGCAGCGCATAAGGTCCACCCCAGGGCTCAGTTGATCCGAAAGCACCACCTTGGAGAAACAGACACGCGTGCGCATGTTGAACTCCGTCTGGTCCAGTGCAGCATGCCATCTCTGGCAGGTGGATCCGGCCGCCTGCAGATCCGAGTAGCCCAGGTAGCTGAAAATCTTCAAAACAATCTGGGGGCGGAACAGGAAAAAACACAATCAGCTGACTGCCTAACAGGTATACGATAAATATAGATACGCATAAAATGATGGATTGGTCACGGGACTGCTCGCTAGCATTTACTCACCTCCAGCGGCAGGTCGTCGTACCTGTGCGATCCGTACTCCAAACCAGACATTATTATTTTGCTCTTGGATGTGAAATTTGCAATTTTAGTCCAACCAACTAGCAGCTCCCACCGCCCACACACTGCGCCCACAAACTACCCCAAAACTACAGTGTTGGATAACCTAGTACCTGCGCTAGGTACAGTATGACCGTGCGACGTAGCTATGCAAACTGTGCTATTAATTGGTAGGTCAGAATGTACCTTTACCGGGAATACCCAACTTTCATTATTTTACTCACTAATTGATAAACATGTTCATTTTGGCAAATCAAAATTAAATAACCTTTTTACTTAGGACTTTTTTCTTCTTCAACTAACTTTAGACTTTTAACTAACTATTGCACTAAAGCAAATTTAATGGATAACCATGCAACCGATATTAAAGTTACCTTTTCCAATTGTACGCTCTATCTTAAGTTCCAATATAAACCATAAATCAAGTCTTTTATTATCATAATTTCTATGCCCAGCTTAGCCGTTACAATCTATAACGGTTTTTAAACTTTTTTGTTCCCTCTCAAAAAATACCAACTCTGATTAAAGACCAGCAAGGGTATTTGTCTTTCGACTGCATACGGTCACATTTTATATGACATCAGTTTGCTTATTGCAAAAAGAAAACGATTTTGGCAAGGCTAAAAAAATAACTATTTCGTCGCTCAAGGATCCCGGACAACGCCGTCGACGTGCCCACAGTAATGGCCGATCCCAAGTTCCAGAACCTGCCGGGAATAGTAAGTGGGAACTCCTCGCCATAACAGTGACGTGCGAGCTTTCGTTTTTGGGTTTCGTTTGGCTTATTGTGTGCGTTTTAGGCTTATGACCAGCCGGACGTGTTCGAGACTCCCGATGACCCGGAACCGGACACATCCGACTACTACGAGGAGGAGCCGGAGAATGAGGCAATTGAGCGACTGCACATCTCGCCCAGCGTCGCTCACAAGCGATTCAGCGGCGCAACTCTCGAGGGGAGTGTGGACTTCACCGATCGCATTGGGCGCCGGGTGTGCCGTGGGTATGATGCCCGCGGATCCGAGGACTACGAGCTGGTCGGCCAGGGCGAGAAGGAGACACCTGTGCAGAAGTGCCAGCGCCTGCAGATCGAGATGAACGAACTGCTGAACGAGGTGGCCGCGCTGCAAGTGGACCGCAAGATTGCCGACGAGGAGAAGAAGTCGTACGACGCGGTGGCCACGGTCATCAGCACGGCCCGGAAGGTATTGGAGTCGCTGAAGCTGGAACAGGTGCTGGGCAAGGAGCAGGCGCCCGGCAGCAAGCAGGTGAAGGCGCTCATCAGCCAGGTGGAGGAGTTCAAGCAGTCGGGCGTTCTCACGGCCATACCCACGCCCGGCACCGATCTGGCGGCCACCGCACGAGTGGCCAGCCTGGAGCAGCGCCTCTCGCAGCTGGAGAAGGTGGTGGGCGCCCAGCCGGACAAGCTGAGTCGCCTGACCGCCGCCACCAACACCACCAATGTGCTGGAGGCCGTGCGTCATCTCAGCACCAAGGCGGCCCTGCTGCAGCCGGACAAACTGGACACCATCGAGCAGCGCCTTACCTCGCTGGCCGGCAAGATGGACGCCATCGCCGAAAAGTCCAGTGGCAGTGCCCAGGACGCAAAGCGAGACCAGAAGATCACGGAACTCTACGACATTGCCAAGCGCACGGAGCCCGTTGTGGAAATACTGCCGCACGTAATCGAACGTATGCAAGCCCTCGAGTCGCTCCATAAATATGGTAAACATTGTTTGCTGGCCTTGTTTTGCTTTAACTAACCTATTGATACACCCTTCAGCAAACAATTTCGCCAAGATCATCGCTGAGATTGAACAGAAGCAGGGCACCATTACCACCAGCCTGGTGAACAACAAGGAACTGCTGCACTCCGTACAGGAGACTTTTGCCCAGAATCTTGAGACCATCAACGCAAAGGTGGCCAAAGTGGAGCAGCGCGTCACGGCCATATCCTCGGCTAAATGAGTGAATGCACAACATGCGTATTATATATAGCTAATATTTATGAAAAATATAATAAAGCGATCTACATTCGAGTCTTTTTTAAAAAGTAAATAGTGGTTGTACTGAAAATCTTGTGTTAAGTCGAACTAAATATTAGTTTTTGAATGTAATTGGGATGCAGAACAGCGTAGGGAATTTAAAAAATATATCTACATATTTATAACTTTGCATCGTGAAGAAGTTTTTTTTTTTTTAATTTTTTAAAACCAGTAAAAATTTGAACCGTTAAATTGACAGTATTTTTTTAGCAAAGATTTTTTTAGTATATTTATCCGAGACTCGTGGTATATTGCGTGGATAAGACTGCGGTCACTCTGACCGTTCCTACGGTTCTTAAAAATATTAATATTTCCAGTTAAGCTTAAGCTCAAAAATTCTCGTTGCAGCGCAAGCGAGTGTAAATTCCGTTCACAATTAAGTGTAAGTGGCGCAATTAGCATAATTGAGTGTAAATACACCAAAAGAGACTAAACGGGGACACATATGCAGTGGGGAAGCCAATGGGAAAAAGTGATGACGGGGCTTACTCCAATTGGACGTGACACAATTTCGTTCTTATGTTGCAACACCAATAATATTTACATTTAATCGCTTTAATTAACCTTACAGCACCGAAACCGTTTGCGAGATGAAGATCAAGGAACTGCAAAAGACGGTGAACATCGCCTGGTCGCCGGCGCAGCAGCAGCAGATTCTCCTGGCCGCCGGCACCGCCGCCCAGCAATTCGACTCGAATGCGAATTCCACTCTGGAGTTGTACTCGCCGAATTTCAGCGATGCTACCTACGATCTGGAGCTTAGGGCCAGCGTGGCTAGCCAGTACAAGTGGGTTTTCAAACTTCCATAAGATCGCATGAGGTACTCACTAAACCGGCTTCTTATCCGGCAGGTTCCAAAAACTCATCTGGAGCCCCGTGGGCCCACATCCCAGTGGCCTGATTGTGGGCGGCTGCGAGGCGGGGCAGATCAACATATACTCAGCCGACAAGCTGCTCGCCGGCCAGGAGGAGCCGCTCCTGAAGCGGCAGGACAAGCACACGGGTGCCGTCAGTGGGCTGGACTTCAATCCCTTCCAGAACAACTTGCTTGCCTCGTGCGCGTCCGAGTCGGAAATCTTGATATGGGACCTCAACAACCCGGAAACCAGCATGAGTCCCGGCGCCAAGACCCAGCCGCTAGAGGACGTGAAGAACGTGGCCTGGAACCGGCAGGTCCAGCACATCCTGGCCTCCGTGTTCAGCACACGCTGCGTGATCTGGGATCTGCGCAAAAGCCAGCAGATCATCAAGCTCTCGGACTCTCAGTCGCGTGTGCGGTGGCACGCCATCGAGTGGCATCCGGAGGCGGCAACGCAGGTCTGGCTGGCCTCCGAGGACGATCAGGCACCGGTGGTGCAGCTTTGGGATCTACGATATGCCACTGCTCCAGCGAAAACATACCAGATTCACGAGCGCGGAGTGCTGGGAATGTCATGGTGCCTGCAGGACAACGACCTGATGGTTTCGTGTGGCAAAGACAACCGAATTTACTGCTGGAACCCCAATACCAAGATTCCCGAGGGGGAAATCCTGTCTGAAGTTGCGACCACAGCTTCGTGGTACTCCGATGTTCAGTTCTGCCCGCGGAATCCGGCTCTGATTGCCAGCGCCAGCTTGGAGGGCGCGGTTTCCATCTACTCCCTGCATGGAGGCACCCATCACCTGGTGCAGACCGCCAACAAGATTGCAGATTCGTTTCCGGGCATGGATCAGTTCGCCCAGGAGCCGATACCCCAGCAGGCCACGCAAGTAGTCTACCATGACCTGGCACACGCTCCCAAGTGGATGAAGCGACCCTGTGGCGTTGCCTTCGGGGTGAGTTGGCCTTTAACTATTCTCCAAACGCTTTTGTAACACCATTTTCTTGCTTTAGTTTGGAGGCAAGCTGGTAAGCTTCGATGGAACCTCCAAAACGGTAAAAGTCCAGCAGCTAACCACCGAAACAGCTTTGGTCGAGCGGGCCAATGCTTTGGAACGTTCTCTGGTCGATGCCAACTACTCGGAATACTGCCGTCAGCGGGCTGACGACACACCGGATCAGCATGGACGCTACATCTGGTACTTTATCAAGGCGAACTTTGAGCTTAATCCCAAGGAGGAAATGCTCAATCTCTTGGGTAGGTCAGATCTAGGCGCAATCAGAGGTCATAAACTAAGATTTCTTATTTTGAATAGGCTACAACAAAGACGACACCGATAGCAAGTTCAACAAGTTTATCAAGGAAACCGAGGGAAACTCGCAATCGGATGTGGATACGCTTACAACCCGCATCTCGACACTGACCCATGTAAGTACTCGTGCGAGCGCTCTTATCAGTCCCAAAAAATGGCAGCATTCGGTGCACTATCAACCACGTATGCTCATCTTGCTCTGTATATTTCTATCCGATAACATACTCCATGCCATGCCATTACCGTAGAGCGACTCTTCGGAGGTTGAGTGCGATCAGAGTACAAATTATAGCACCGATACTTCGGTAAGAGCTAAGATTCAAGACTCGAAATCGAAACCATAACACTTAACAGAAGTTTTTGGAAACTATTTAAACCGTAAACACATAATATAGCTAAATTTTGTATTTTCCATAAACAGCAGACGCAAGATAACAAGTTTGATGGAAATGCAATCGACTCACAAACTCAAAACGACTTTGCCGCTCCTCCGAGGCCGCAATTCAAGGTTCCCAGTGGAGATCGTAAGTTGAACTAGTTATATCTGTAACAGATAACATATACTAACTACAAAGGCACTTATTTTAATTACTTTTACTCTCCAAAGTTAAAAATGCCTATCTGCATCAGTATAATCATAATACTATTCTTATCACAATACAACACAATTCTAAATGATTGAATTTCGCTGTTTTTTGCAGACTGTGATAGCTTGATTGCCGAGGCCATACTCACGGGCAATGTGGAGGCTGCCGTGGAGCTCTGCCTGGAGGCCCAGCGCATTCCGGAGGCCCTGATTATTGCCTCCACGGCCGGAATTGAGACCTTGACCCGCACCCAAACCCGCTACCTGCTGCAGCAGAAGAGTGAGCTGTCGCACGTGATTTCCGCATTGGTATCCCGTGACTGGCTGGACTTTGTCAACCGCTGCACCGTGGACTCGTGGAAGGAGGCCCTGGTGGCCGCCCTGAAGCACAGCGAGCGCAAGGTGGTCGACATCTGTGAGCGTTTGGGCGATCGTTTGTTGAGCGAGTGCGCCTCCAGCGCCGAGTTCACGCGTAATGCCATGCTCTGCTACATTTGCGCCGGCAGTATCGACAAGTTGGTGACCGCATGGTACCAACTAAAGCGGCTGGAGCAGCAGAATCCCGGCTACAAGCCCAACACCACAGAGCTGCAGGACTTGGCCGAGGTGGTGATGCTGATGTGCAAGTCCCTAGAACAGCAGGGCATATCCGTGGACCTAGCGGGACGATTTGCTGGCTTTTTGACTGAGTACGGAGGTCTTCTGGCCTCCCAGGGAGCTCTAACTGCAGCCTTGCAGTACATTACCACGCTGGGTGGCGGAGCTGCCAACGAGAACGAGGTGCTGCAGAGCCTGCGAGATCGGATCAACAACGCTGTCAGCCTGGACTACTCGCAGCCACAAGCGCCGGTTGCCGCAGCTCCGCTTGGCTACCAACAGCAGCGAGGTCGGGGATCTTTCTCGCAGCCACAGCCATTGGTACCGCAGCCATACGGCCAGCCAGCAAATCAGTATGCTCAGTCCAGCTGGCCTACGCCAGTGCCTCCACTACAGACCAACTATCCAGGAGCCCAACCGACGCAGCCGCCACCCCAGATCTTCAATCCGCAGCCCATAAAGCCGGAGCCTTTGGCCCACCCACCACGACCCCTTAGCAACGCCAGCTCATCGGGTGGTCCTCCGCCGGCAGGAGGAGCATCGGGCTCGGGCGGATCTGGACTTTCTGGGCGCTCAAAGTACGTGCTTGATCCATCTGTGGCAGCTCCAACCAGTTCCTATGGCATGCCATACAATCCCGTGCCCGCCCCCGGGCCACTGCCATCGGCAGTTCCCTTCAGCGGCGGAGGAGCACCTGGACCGGTACCACAACCGGCGAACGTGCCAACCTTCAATAGCAATGCATTCAACACGAACCCCATTGCGCCTGCCCAACCATACAACCCATCGCCATTCATGGGAGCTCCGCAGAATCAGTTCTTGCCCGGCGTCAATCCCATTGAGACGATGCCACCGCAAGCTGTGCCACCGGTCATCCAGAATGTGCAACGCAATCCCACACCACCGCCAGGCTGGAATGATCCTCCTGCGTTGAAATCATCGCGTGCCGTAAGTGTTTGTCAGGCTATATAGCCTAGAACATTGATATTTAAAATGTGTGTTGTTCTTCAGCCCAAGTCGAAGCCCGTGGTTGAACCAAGCGCTGCCATCTTCCATCCCCTGTTCCCAGTCGATCCCAATCAAAATCAAAACGGCTACGTGGACCCCGCTCAATATCAGGTAATTTATTTGAGTGTTTCTTCTTAAAACGTGTCTACACAGTGAGTGTTTTTCTTCTAGAATGCACCACCCCCTGGAGGAATACCGAATGCTTACTACAACCCGGCTGCCTTTAACAACAATCCCCAGCAACAGCCTCAGCAATCGTACCTCCAGCCCCAGCAGCAGTTCCAGCAATCGGGGCTTTCGAATCAGGGAGGACCTCAACAGCAGAACTGGCAGGGACAGCAGCAAACCATTGGCTACACAGAGCAGCCAGCTCCCATACAGCAGCAGCGCCAACCGGAGCCTCCCAAGGAGAAGCCCCCACTTCCCGAGGAATACATCTACTTACAGACGGTGCTGGAGGAGCTTAAGAACCGCTGCCTAAGCGCAACAAATGATCCGGTGAGCATTGGACTCTTTAATTTCTTATTAAAATTGATAAACATTTTAAGTAAGATTAGCCTTACTTTATAAATGAGCTAAAATAGTGTGCTAACCCCTAAAAATCGCAAAATCAGGTCGAAGAACGGATAACAAAAACCGTATTGATATTTATAGCAAAACACTTTGTACATTTGTTAGTAATTGCCGTCCGCAGAATCTAATTTGTTTGCGATAATAAGGGGCGATCACCGCGGCCCAGAGTATTATCCTAAAATTTGTATTGCTTTTCTTTGGTAGCGCACAAAACGCAAGTTTGTTGATGTTGTTAAGAGGCTCGAAAACCTCTACGACTGCCTGAGGGAAGGCAAGGTAAGTCTGAATTACAAATTACGATTCGAGTCCAAATATTTTTGCTTATATTAAATTGTTATCTTCCAGCTTACTCCCACAACGGTGCAATATCTGAATCAAATAATACAGTACATTCAAATATCCGATTATGCCAATGCTCTGGAGATCCACACGCGCATCGCCTTCGGCACGGACTTTGCGCAGTGCGCGGGCTTTATGCAGGGATTGAAGGTGCTCCTACAATCCGCATCCGAGCTGCACTTGGTCCTTCGCTAGAGCCTTGATTTCGAACGCTCCAAGCTAAGCTCACTAAACGTATATACTTATTGTGTCTTCAAATATGAATGTCTATTGTGTTTTGTAAACAAAGTGTGGTCCTTTGTTAGTGTAGGCTGCCAGATGAGTGTCAACGTTATTCCGTGTATTGAAATATATTTCCACTTAAATCGCAAATAGACATATGCATAAATAACAAAACAAAAATGATCTTTGCTTTCACAACAGCTTCGGCTGGTTCCTGATGTTCTCCAAGTCGAGTTGCATTCGCGGTGAGGAGGCATCCCCCACGGTTGGAGACTGAGGGCACACCTGCTCCAGTTGCTCCTCGGGCAGCAGGCGGTACTTCTTGAGATACTTGTACGAAGCATTTGAAATGTCGTTGGGACTCTGCGAGTGGGCGAGATTGTCAATCGGACGCAGGGGTTCAGGATTAGCGGACTTTGGCGACGCGCCCAGGCGCATCTCCTTCATGAGCTCGTCGACGGGCTGGCGCAAGTACTTTAGGGCCAGTTCGTTCATCACCATGCTCTTCTCGGTGTTTGGCTTGGCCAACTGGGGAATTCGTTTGCCCTGCGGCGTATTGGCCCGATAGCCTGTAGATTGAGCTATGGGCGCAGTGGGTCGTGGAGATTGAAACTGGGGAATCACTCGAGCTTGCGGCGAAGGCACTGGCTCCTCCTCCTCCTCTGCTATGTAATCCTGTATAATCGGAGATATTCGCCTGCCTGCAAAACAAACAGATTCAAAGAGTCTTGCACACTTTATTGATTTACCCACCATTACTGGTAGTCAAAATATCACACTGGCTGGCTGTTGTCCTACAGGGTTTCGAGTTGGCTTCGGGTTTCGCCCGCTGGTGTTGCTCCAAGAGCATCATGCACAGATTCTTAAGCTGCTGCTGCTCCTGGCGCATGGACTCCATAAGGGAAACCAGTTCCGCCAGGTCACTCTTGTTGGCCAGGCTGCTGACATCGATGTCGGAGTAAACCACCGAGGGCAGTGAATTTCGTGGGGGCGTTGGGTTGAAGGAATCGGTTTGTGTGCCAGCACAAATTGTTAGAACATCGGCGTTGGATGAACTGGACAAACGCCGCGACTGATAAATCTGCTGCTTGGGCTCGGCATTGTACCCTCCGCAATTGCTGCTGCCCAGGTGATTGTCACTCAGTGACGCATCCTTTGTGTAGTTGCGATCCCTTGGCGTCATTATGTACTCCTTGGGGGAGCAGGGATTACTGTTGCTTGGAGCAGTTCGTGGTCCCAGTTCCGTGGCCAGGATGGGCGAGAAGTTGACCCGGGGCAGCATCTGCTTCTTCCAGGAGGCAAAAGTGGGTGCCGCCCGAGGAGAAGGCTCCTGTAGTTGAGGTTGCTGCTGCTGCTGATGCTGCATCTGCATCTGCTGATCCTGCGGCGCCTGACCAAACAAAATTGACACCTCCGGCACAGTGGGCCGTATGATTTCGTTGGTGTGGCCCATAGGCACTGCTGCACTTGGTCTGGGCGCCATTCTGGGCAGCATATCCTCCGTTTCTGGCACGAACATTTGAAATGTATTTACTAATTTTCTGGTTAAATTAAATTCGAGCGGGAGAATCGGTCTGATTGGAGCTGGGTCGACTTAGGGATGGCACTAGGGCTGACGTAAAATGCGAATTCATCGATAACAGTTGAAGAAAAAATGTTTAAATGTTCACTTCGAAATTAGGTGACAACTCTGTTTTTAGTGAGGGTAGTAAAAGAGTTGTTTAATTTTCAAACATCGCAAGCCATCCGATAGTTGCTATCAAGTAGTGTGTCATAGAGAAAACTGAAACCTTCGGGTAGTCGGAAGATAAATGCAAAATATGCCTGTTTTGGAGAACGTTAATGCTATGGCTGAAACACCGAATCCAGCTGGAAATATCACGGCTCCGGCAGACGCAGATGTTCCGGCCCAACCTGCTCGGGAACTCACGCAGACGGATCACCTGAACAGACGCCTCCTCAAATCGCTCCTGGACAATATGCAGGCCGCCGAAGGAGTGGCGCCGGGCCAGAACGAAAACGGCTCTAACGAGGAGTCGGGCAACGAATTCGAAGAATAAATCCTTTTATTAATGTACAGTAAAGCTAGTGAACTAAAACGTTTCATAACAATCGTCCATTCGAGTGGTTAGCACCTAGATGCGTCGGCGCTTGTTGCTCTGCACCGGCGGCGGAGTAGTAGAGGGACTAATGGATTCATTGGACATCGATCCGCGGGTGCGCTTGGCCGGACGTTTGGGCAGTTCCTGGGGCTTGGATACGGCCTTCTTGTCGGAATCTTTAGCAGAATTTGCCGGAAGTGGGGCTTTTGCAGCAGGTGGCGCTGAAAAAAAAGACACTGAAGGAGGCATTCTAATAATAATCATGTGACTCACCTTTGCCATTGCTGTCAGGGGCTGGAGCACTATTTCCTGCTGGCTGTGCTTCTCCAGCCTCCTCGCTGGCGTTCACCTCCACCGTCTTTTTGGTTTGCAGCGTTCCGTAATCCTGCTCCGGGAGGCTGAACTCGCGCTCCTCGTTGGGGAAGGGCAGGGACTCGAGATCGTCCAGTTCTTTTAGCTTGTACATGGTGCCCAGGTGGCGCCAGATCAGCTCGCTGGGCATCTCGCGGTTCAGGGACTTGGACAAACGCTGGGCGATGCAGGACATATAGAAGTGCTTGTTGATTCCGACCGGGCGCAGGCCCTCCATCGCGTGAAACAGTTGCAGCTCCTCCTCGGCGGACCACTCGTGGTCGACGGTGGCCGGCAACGGAGCCGCTGCTCCGGCTACAACCGGGCCCTTGTCCTTGGCCATCATTTTGCAGAACGCATGGAATTAAAAGTGGACTGAATGTTTTTTTGCAGCAGATATTAGAGATGACAGCCGGCGGCCCTCACGCGTCTGAACTATCGCAGAAAGGTACATCCCTAGTTTGGGTGTGTATCCACTTTTTATTCGTCAACTTTTGCTCGATTTTGGCCTGTAGCGTTCGAGAACAAAAATATTCATAAATCGGAGCTGGTAATTAATAAATAGTGTGCAAATATAGTTTTGTGTTGTGTGTGCATCCGTCGAAATCTTTACCTTCCCAATTTAATTATTTTGTTAAGCATACGGCGCATATGTTCCCGTATGTTTGTGTGTGTGCTCCTCTATTCATAAAAAAAAAATATAATTTTGGGTGTTTCCAAACAGTGGAAGAGTGTTCCCCGTACATAACATGACTTTTCCATGTGCACTGACAAGGGTGACCACCGCCCACATCCTCTTTTCCGCAGTAAATAACCTTGCACTTGTTCTGTGTCAAGGTTTCCAGTTAGCCTGGAAAGTTAATCAGCAATGCGATCGATTAAGCTAATGCCTGCGCTCACATGTGCCACTGTTTAAGTCCAAAAATGTGTGTAATGGTGACTCACCAGCTATCCTAACTTTCCGCCTAATACTAAACACTAAACTAAACCTTTCTACCAACTATCTATATCCTAGAATCGGCCATATATAAATAATATACATATGTATATAGAAATTAGCCTTGTGTCACTGTCGCCTGTTCAATGTTGTACCCGTGTGGGAAAGAGTGTTTAAAAGAAACAGATTTCTAAACTATAACCAAACTTGTTATTTCCAGCCAGCCATTAAGATCCATCCAAACCATCCAGTATACCCAGAAACATACGATAAGATAAGCCCAAGAACAAGATCAAGCCATAAGGCGAAGCCACACAAGCACAAGCACACACCCACCATCCTGTAATTGCATTTCCCAGTATCCGTATCACTGAGAACCTTTTCAACCATAGGCCTATCCGAGACAGCCATCATGGACGTAATGTCATCATCCCTGCAGCAGCAGCGCGTCGTGGTGGAGCAGCTGCGTCGCGAGGCGGCCATCGACCGCCAGACCATCTCGGAGTCGTGTGCCAAGATGATGAAGTACATCACGGAGCACGAACAGGAGGACTACCTGCTGACCGGGTTCACCAGCCAGAAGGTTAATCCGTTCCGCGAGAAGTCGTCGTGCACCGTCCTCTAAAGAGGAGGTTGTCCCCAGGATAGTGGGAGGTCCGCTGGTGTGTTGGTAGAGTCGAGGATCGAGGATCACCGGCGGACGTTTAGTTTATTTTTAGTTTAGCAAGATGGATTAAGAGGCGAATGTGTGTGAAGTACGACGTTACCAGTACCAGTCAACGCCACCTGGATCAATATATCTTTGTGTAAAAGCCACAATAACTACGATTGTCATAAGCAATATAGTTACAAGAAGTTTGAATTCCAGTTACAAGGAATATATATAATATGTAAACGATATATCAATGTGTACCATTCACGTTAACAAGTAATTTCCGAAAACTCAAAAACCCAAATTCGAATCCAAATCTAAATCCAAACGAAGCATTTGTTCCAAAGATATCAAAGTTGTTTCCTTCCCAATTAGTAACGCTGTAAATGTACACGAATATCCCAACTATAACGACAATTAAAGCGCTGACTATAGCCTCTACAACTACTACCTAAGCCGAAACACATAAATATACAAAGCTATCAACGTAATCCGACATACAAATTTATCAATAAACGTAAACTCAACCGAAACAGAAATACATATATTTTGCCTTCTTATTTCAAGAAAAATCTGTTATATTTGTTAAAAATGAGATGAGAAAATGAAGAAAGAGAAGAAGTTGTATTGAAAATGTATGTATTTTGAAGCTTATTAACCACCAGCGGGTGGATTGAGCCACTAACGACAAATATACGCAAATATCTTATTGAATTACTTTAAAAGCTTTAAACACGAAGCAGAAATGCTACCCACAACAACAAGCTAGTTGAACTTATCGCAATATTTAGTGCGTTTATTATCCAGTTTTTCTTAGTCAAATTATATATTGAATCGTTGCAGTAACGCAGCAAGAGCATACAATACCAAAGAAATGGAAAACTATAATCAAATATTTATCTCTTTAGCGTAGTTTTTCCCCTTTTAAATCAATACGGCGCATTCAAGCCAATATCAAAGAAAACCGATCATTTATTTCAGTCCACTGTTCTCGCTATGTGAACCACACCACTCAAAAATCCGACGAATCCGAAAATTGTCATTTTCTCCAAATTTAGCGAAAATGTCCGAAAGAATGTGTGATTTTTCCCACTTTAAAGAAAGACATCCTTCTATCCTACACTTCCAAAACACTCCACTTTCACACAAATATTCACACATATAAGTTGAGCGCAATGAAATAAATTGTTATTGGCATGAAAGAAAAGTTACAACCAAAAAGCAAGTTATTTTTGTACAAGCTAACATGGTATAGGGCATATTTGTACGGTATTGGAATGAGAAGTAATGATTATCCTGTACGGAAAGCACGATGACATCATCACACACAGTCGCACACACATTTTGCATTCAAAAATTTTGATTTTCATCGGGACAGATGTCGAATTCACACCAGAAACGTAAAATCTGTGTTGATGGAAATAATGAACGTATAATTTAAATAATCGGTTCTTCCAATGTTGCATTTAACTAGTAATTTTAAATTGGCGGTGATTTTAGTTCATAATGTTGCAAAATTTAGACCGAGTGTATTAAGAATCACACATTTTTGCAGAGGTATATTTTCTTTTTCGAATATGTATACAAGGTTTTGAACTACAGTTTGCTGTCGTGAGCAAACAGCAAAATGTGGCCCAAAACTGAAAATTCAAAAGGTTTTATTGGGGCACCACAAATCGAAACTGCAGTTGGTTTGGACACCCATGTTCCGGCTTAAACATTCCGTTTAGTGCAATTTTCGATTTAACGGACACTTCACGTGGAGACTTTTGAGTTATCAACCGGAGTTTGCCTGGGAACAGCCGGGCCATCCATAGAGCACGGATGTCTCGATCCTGTCCCCAGATGAGAAATTGTTTTAACTATATCTAGAGGGTAGATTATATTAGAAATGAAGAACATCAGCAGCACACGTACTCAAAATCATGGTCATCGAACACACTTTAACACGTTTTATTCACTTCAAATAAAAAGCGACAACGAGATCGTATTTTTTTCGAAAATTAATACAAATCTTTTGCGACGCATACGGGGACGAGTCCTCACAAATATTATTGAAATGTATCTGCGAATAAGCATTTGAAATATGTATTGTACTCAACAAAATGAATAATCGTTTGCTTAAATTTCAAAAATAAAAGGCGATAACTAACTTAGATTTGTTATCTAGCGGTGGCACCGGGTTCGGTGCGAAAAAAATCGTTGTTTTATTAAAAAAAAAAAAAAAAAAACCCCTAGAGAAATAAGCGTTTGTTCAGTTTTCGTAAGTTAAGTTTATTAATACAAGAAACTGTGTGCATGGCTGCGTATGTGGGGTGAGTGTGAGAGTGGTTAATGAAATTTATAATTTCCATGGGAGTAGTTTATGAAAATACAATGCACTCTTCGTGGGAGCAGGAGAAACTAGTTATAGTAGGGCGTACGAATCACATAGGAACCGCTTAACTCTCGTCATCGCTGCCGGCAGCCTGTCGCGGCTTGGGGCCTCCGGCGCGCTTGGCCATGATGATCTGGTCCACCTTCAAGATGGTTGTGGCCGCGCCCACGGCGTACTTGAGTCCCCAGAACTTGGCCTGGTACAGATCGAAGAGCTTCGCCTTCGAAGTGTCGATGGTGCTGGCCTTCTCGGCCTCAATATCGAAGCCAATTGTCTTGCCGGCCTCGGAGTTGTGTGCCAGGTACAGCTGGTTCACGATATCCGTGCCATTGATGCCGGAATTCTCGGCCAGAGCCTTGGGGAATACTTCCAGAGCGTTGGCGAACTTACGCACGGCGTACTGGTCCAGTCCCGGCAGAGTATCAGCATAGGCGGACAGCTGAGTGGCTAGTTCGATCTCGGTGGCACCAGCTCCGGGCAGATAGCGGCCATCCCGGGTCAGGCACTTGAAGTTGTTAACAGCGTCGTCCAGGGCGCGCTCAATATCATCCATGAAGTTGTCGGTGGCTCCACGGATAACAACGGTGGCAATGCGCGAGTCCTTACCCTCATTTCTGCAAGCGATTTAAGATCAACTTTAACTGAGTTTTGCCTTAGTTAATATCTAGATCAACCCACCTGAAGGCCACGATTGTGGTGTCGCCCAGTTCCTCGATGCAGACCTTGTCGCAGTAGCCCAACTCCTCCTGGCTGGGCGTGGTGATGCGCGGCAGGACGGTGGCGTTCACGGAGCGGCTCAAACGACGCAGGTCGAACTTGGAGTTCAGACGCACGGCCATCAGACCGTATTTGTTGAGGAAGTGCAGGGCCATGTCCCCGACCTTTCCGCCGGACACAACCACCTTGACACCGGCGTCGGCAATCGCCTTGATCTGGCTCTCCAGCAGACTCTCTTCGCCGGAGGAGAAGGTCATCAGCTCATCGGCCGACTTGATCAGCACCGTGCCCTTGGTCTCCGTCTGGATGATGTCGACGGGGCAAGAGAAGATCACGATTTTGGCCTTCTCGGCGAAGGTAATATCGCCCTCCACGAAGCGCTTGAACACCATGCCGCGAACCACTTCCGACTTGGTCAGTCCGCTGCCCAAGATCTTGCAGATGCGAATGTTGTCCACGTTGAAGGTGCCCTCGTCCGGCAGGATGGAGACACAGGCCTTGCTGACCAGGTCGTTGAGGAAGTCCTCCTGGCCGTACTGCTTCGACATGATTGAGGTGCGCAGCACCTCCTTGACCTTCTCCACGTTGCGGAAGTCCTCGACCTTGTGGTTCACCAGGGTGGGCAGGATCTCGAGGGCCTTCTCCAAGGCCTTCTCATAGCCGTCGGAGATCTCGGCGGTGGTGATGCCCAGACGCAGCAGCTCCTCCGCGGACTCGAGCAGAGCGCCGGCCAGCACCACCACGAAGTTGGTGCCATCGCCCACCTCGGCGTCCTGCATCTGGCTGGCCATGACGATCAGCTTGGCGGCCGGGTGCTCCACATCCAGCTCCCGCATGATGGTGCCGGCGTCGCTGGTCACGAACTGCTTCTCGATGTGGTTGATGATCATCTTGTTCATGCCATTTGGCCCGTAGGCGGAGCGCATGGTCTGTGCGAACTCCTTGCAGGCGCTGATGTTGCGGTACACCGCCTCCTCCAGCCCACTGTACATCTAAGGACACAGAGAAATCCATCATGTTAGTCATTTTTCAAACATTTAAGGGGCTCTATTCCATGAGGATGACTAATCACGCGCCTCTGCGAGACGGCATGTTTTTATTTTCGGCCGAAACTCAATGAAACCAATGCCCGCAAGGCTTTTGGCATTGTTTTTCCCCCCTGTTGCACTCACCCGGGCGCCATCCTTGAGCATCTGCGACACTCCGGGAGCTTTGGGAACGGATAAAGCCATTTTTGTACACAGATTTCAATTTCACACGGAGTCAGTCGGTAAATTCCAGCTAGAGTTATAACCTCAAAGTGGCCGCGAACATTCTGGATGGGATAGGGATGGGAGTGGTTTATCGATTAATTCAAACTGTGACTGTTACTTTTTATAAATATATTTTTTTAAGGCTCTCAAAATTAATTTTACTGTTATGCTTTTTTAAGAGATAACAACAATTACAAAGATTTAAATATTTATGCTATAGGACGGTAAAAAAAATATAATAGAATAGTTACTTCCTAATTTGATTTAAAATTAATGTTTTTGAAGGTTGTACTAATGGTAACTTACAAGGTCAAATTACGATCTGCTGAAAAAAAGTTATTTATCTTGCCTAGCTTGATTTCAAACTTTGCATTCACTTGTCGACTATTCTCTACTAAAAATTTTGAATTTTTTTTCAATGTTTTGGATAATTTAACTGATGTTACCCCTCGCTAAACCTAAGAAAATTTCCAAGGATATTGATGTTTAATGTTTTTTCAATTCGCATTAATCTTTATGGTTATAATTTTTTTTTTCAATTATTATTAGATTATTTTTCTAGAAATATAATGTTATATGGAGTGGTGTACAATGATAGTTGATAGAGTTCGACAAAATTTGAACATTTGCTAAGCTTTAAGATATACAACCATAATTAAAAAAGCGTATAGAAAATCCGAAAATCTTTTTATCACTTTGTTTTCAAGATGGAACAATAAATTTGTTAACCAGTAAAGTCGTTAATAGCTTTCAAAGATAAATATTTATTTCTTGGTATTTAAGCGATTTGGGTCTCAAATTAAAGCTTTCAGTTCCAGCTTTTCCGATCCGATCCGGCCACACTGAGTGGGTGCAGTAGCTATAGTCGGTCATTAAGTTTTCAACCCAAGAACCAAAAGGTCGATCCGCTTAAAGTATCTCAACTATATAAACAAAAGGTAGAACGGTAACAATTTTGTAAGTCAACTATGATGAGTTATCAGGACAACTTATGCAAAACCATAGATATATGCAAAAGTAAGTATATAGCCATCCCGGAGTGGGAGAAAGAGAGGTATGGTAAGCATTTCGAGGCATTGCATTCCACAATTTTTGGAATACTGAGATCAGAGAATGCCCAGCTGGACAACCTCATCGTGGAGTATAGTTTGGAAGGTATGTTCTGGTAACTATGTATTACAGTGGATCCTCC